ATATCTTGAGAGAAACCAGGGTGTTTGTTAGTTTTGGAGCTATGAAACTTTGACACTTTTTAAAGACAGGTTAGGCAACTGTCCCTCAGGGTACACACCTAAGCTTTGTGGGCAGGTGTCCATGAGAACGGCAAGTAATAGTGCAGCAGTAATGAGCCCTTGCTGTATTTCCTTCACTTGTACCTTGGCTGTTCATGCTAGGCTTAGCCCTAGTGCCTGATTCTCTTACCCTTTAGGGTTGGAATGCACACAAAGACATAATTTTAATTGTTTTTCCTTTCTTCTCTTTCTTGGTGGGATTTTGGGACTCTGCCATGTTATGGTTGCCCTTCCTTTTCAGTTAAATGAGCCAATAAATTCTCCTTCATGCTTCAAGCGTTTAAATTAAACCTCTGTCACCTGTGTGAAATAGCTGCAGGATACTGAGATCAATCTCTAAATAATTTTCATCCTGACATGTTTGCAGGTCTACCCTCACAACCAATCTTCCAAGAAACTGCCATTTTTTTAGCCAGTAATTAAAGTATGGAATTTTAATATCAAGTTAATTTCTTTTCATATTGTTTGTGCAGTTTGTTTTAAAAACTATTTTCTCACCCTAGTGTTATAATCTCCTTTGCAAGTGCTTCTTCAACTTTATCATCCCTATAATCATCGGAAAATATTTTCAAAATGCAGATTTAGCCTGAAGGTGATGTTGATATTGCTTCAGATTTTACTTTCATTTATATTGTTCACATTTTTGTCTTTAATCCACCTGAAAATAATTTACAAATGGTATAACACAATGCTGTATATTCTTCTCTACCTATATAAGTAGCCAGATATTTTTAGAATTATTTACTTAATAATCCACCTTTTGCCTACTAATCAATAATGCAGTATTTGTCAGACATAATTTTCTATACTCTGGGAGTTATTTTTAAATTGTCTGTCTTGCACTACTAATATTGCTATAACAATTTTAATTATAGTTTTATAGTTTAAATCTCATAGAACAAATCCCCCAACCTGTTTTTTATCTCAAAATTGTCTTAGCTATCTTCTGGATCTCTTTCAATTAATCTGTATAATCTTAAATTCAAAGAAAAAAATGTCTAGACTGGTTAGAATTGCACTGAAATTATAAATTATGTGAGCTAAATATCTTTATTGACATCCAAATATGAACATAGTATGTGACTCCATTTATTCAGGTTTTCTGTTTTTATCTATAATGTTCTATATGAAATTCACAAACATCTTTTATATTTGTTCCTAAGTACTGTTTATTTCCTATTTCTTTTATTTAAGGTTAATTTCCATTCATTCATTTCCTATATGGAAATAAATGTGGTTTTTATTTATTTTGGTACCAGGAATTGAACTCAGGACCTTGCAGTCGCTAGGCAGGTGTGGCACCACTGAGCTACATCCCTAGCCCTAAAACTGGTTTTTATATATTGATCTACTATCCAAAGATCTGCCAAAATTCCATTAATTCTAAACATTTGTCTATAGCTTATTTTTTCTACATAGCTCTCCTGAATATCAGTGAAAAAGAAATTTTAAAACACTGTCTTTTCCTCTGCTCTTGAATTGAGTTTGTGTTCTATAAAATGTTACTGTTAAATAATCTTTCAAACCTCAGTGGACCATATGTGTGGTTCTATTTTTAGATTCTCTGTTTTATTCCAATGATCTATATGTCTTTCCTTACA